AGCTATTCGGTTTTTCAATAACCGAGTTAATTTCAATAATTAGTTCCCGAAACATTTATTTTATAAACGGACGTCATTAGTCGAGATTAATTAATCGAAATCATGAATATTCGAATTAATTTTCGAAGTCAAGTTTCAACCGAAAATGAGTAAATTCGGTTTAAGTTATACACCATCCCTATACATTGTCGCGTTCACATTGGTACACCGTCCATTTAAGCCAAGTGTACGCACACTTCCGTCAGTAACCGTATGCATGCGTACGCACGCTAACCGTAGCATCGCCGTGCGCATCGCCGTGTGAGCGTGTGCGCGCGCCGTTCACCTAACCACCGTCCACGATTATCTTATGTTAAGGTAAGTACTAAGATCATGGCTAATTAATTTATTCTCATTATTTTAGCTATTGCCGTGAGAATTAATTTATTCTCATTATTTTAGCTATTGCCGTGAGATAAGATTGACATGGAGTAAAATATTAGCAACTTGCAATGCTTTGTCACCTACTAGCTTGCTACATGGAATAACTTTAGCAAGTCTTGGTGATGACCAAGCATCTAAGGGCCACCTCACGTGATGACTAAGCTCGGTAATTGCCACCGAGGCCCACGGTTAGTGCAAGTGGCATCTTGTGATTTATTCACATTTTATCTCTATCTTTTACTTATCTTTATAAGCATAGTCGTGAGTTTAATTGGGCATTCTCCATGCAACCGAGACCAAGTATAGAATGTTTTCATGAGATAAAGAGAGTAAAATATTATTAAGAACATAAGAAGAAGTAGGCCTTGCACTAGCCTTTGTCAAAGGAAGCACAAGTACACCGTGCGACCGTGAGCAAGCACACACGCAAGCCTTAGCAATTCTCATGAGCAATTGGAGGGGTAAAGTCATATTAACCTTCTTATAATTAATTTATGTCCATATTAGAAAGATCATGTAGTAATCATGTCGTTCGGTTCATGTTTAAGAGCATAAGTGCACTCAGAGGTGCTATATAAGCCCTCCCGAGTTATTTCAAAATCTAACCGAACACTCTCGAGCAATTCATGTATATTTAGTCATTTTATGTCATTTCATGTCCAGTCATGTAAGGTTTGCCAGAAAAGTTGCCGGACGGCCGGTAAAGGGCCGACCGTAGGGCCTGCCCGCACGTAGCGGTGCAGCGCTAGCCCGGTAGCGGCCTGCCAGCACGCATGATGAAGATCGCGTCTTTCGATTGCCGATAAGCCACAAACCAGTTCCTTGAATCGCTGATAGCTGCCTAGAGGTTCACAAACCGCACCCCTCTAAACGAATATAATTCCAATAGAATTTTGGTGAAAAACTAAAGCAAAGAGAGAATGAACAAAAGTTTGGCTATTGATAAAATGAATGATCCAAAATAACATGGGGAAGGGCCTTTATATAGGCACAAATTATATCTAGTCCTAATCGACCTAGGGAACTTATAAAGCAATAAAATATTAGAAATCTTAATTAAGCTAGAAATCATAAAGCTAGATGGAAACTAAATCTCTTGGTGTGCACTCCAAGTTATTCTCTCTCTCTCTCTCTCTCTCTCTCTCTCTCTCTCTCTCTCTCCTCTCACGCGTTTGACCACCTCACTTAGCGCCGCCCGCGCGCCCTCGCCCTGGTCCTCAAGGACTAGGGTTGCCAACTTTGCCAGCGCGTGTTCGCGCCCCTCGCTTGCCGCACACGCCTGCACGCTGGCACCGCCTTCGCGCGCGTCCCCACACGCCCGCCCTAAGTTGCCGCACTCCTGGAGGATTGGGGCTTTGAGTCCCGCGCGTGCACCTTCATCTGGCGGTTTGCGCACGACATCGCTGCCAGCCGCCTTCTCACGCGCGTGTGCCCCGCCTGCTTTGCCGCACGCCTCAAGGCATGAGGCCTCAAGCCCCGCGCGCGCTTCTCGGTTTCGTGCACCTCTCGCGATCGCGCTCGCGTGTAGCGCGCCCATTGCTTAGCCACTTCCACGGACGTGGGTCTCGCCAGTGGCTCGTGCTATCCTCTTGCGTGCGTGATAGGCGCGACTTGCGCCATTCTTGAGCTGCCTAGCCACTTCCGTATCATTCCAGTCCCTTTCAAGCGCTTTCTTGTCCTCAAGGATAAAACTCGGGAATTGATCACGTATCTCATCCAGATCCTTCCATGTGGCTTCTTCCTGTGGCAACTCTTCCCACTCGATTAGCACCTCCCAGCGGTAACGCCCAGCTTTCTGACCTTGCGGTACTCCATTGCACGTTTTGGTCGTACTATGACCCTTCTATTAGTCGCAGTTGCCGGTAACTCTTTGCACTACTTGTGCGCCTCTCCTAAAATTCTCTTTAGCTGTGAGACATGTATGACCGGATGGATCTATGAACTCTTGGGTAGCTCTAGACGATAAGCTACCTGACCAATGCGCTTCAGAATCTGGTAAGGTCCATAGTATCGTACTTCTAGCTTAGTCGCTACCCTCTGGGCTGTCGTGCGTTGCCTGAACGGTCGTAGCTTCAACTAGACATACTTGCCCGACGCGTAGTTCTTCTCTCGTCGCTTCCCATCCACGAAGGCCTTGGTTCGAATAATCGAGCGTTCGAGATTTTTCTTCAATTCTCGCAACATCAAATCTCGCTCCTCAAGTTCTCGACCGACTTCATCGTTGACCGTGCCTCCTTCTAAGTAGTTGATCAGCATGGGCGGTTTACGCCCGTATACCAACTCGAATAGAGTCATCTTGGCCGACTCATGGTAAGTAGTGTTGTACCAGTACACTGCCCAGGGCAGAAAATTTTCCCACCTCTTCGGAAACTGATGAACATAGCACCGTAGATATTGCTCAAGGGTTCGGTTGGTTACCTCGATTTGCCCATCGGTTTGGGATGATATACTGAGCTCATGGATAGCTTGGTCCCCTGTAGCTTGAAGAATTCAAACCAAAAGCTGCTCATAAAGATCCTATCTCGGTCAGAAACTATTGATCGCGGAGCTCCGTGTAACTTCATCACATATTCGACGAACAACCTGGCGATAGACTTGGCTGTGTAGGGATGGGTGATGGGTATGAAGTGAGCATACTTGGTAAGTCGATCCACAACGACCATTACTCCGTTAAACCCATTAGAACTTGGCAGCCCTTCAATGAAATCCATGGTGATGTCTTCTCAAATCGCCTCGGGTATGGGTAGTGGCTGCAGCAGCCCGCTTGGTCGGCGTGAATCAGCCTTAGTGCACTGACTGTCGTCGCATCGTGCGATGTAATCCCGAACCTTGCTCTGTTGTCCCGGCCAAAAGAAGGTATCGACTATCCTCATCCATGTGCGGTAGATACCCGAGTGACCTCCAATTTTAGAATCGTAGAAATACTGCATGATCCTCTCGCGTACTGCCCGCTGTTGGGGACGAATACTCGGCCTCGATATAGCAGTAGACAATTGTGCAGCTCGTAATCAGCAGTGGTTTCTCCTGCTTCGATCTTCCGGCGCACTTTTTGACAATAAGTATCCTCTTCTTGCACCTTTCGAACTTCCTTCCAGATGGTCCACGTCGACCCTGTAATAGCATTAAGCTCGGCTACATCTGTCCGTCGGGATAAGGCGTCAGCTACAGCATTCTGTCGACCTGGCCGGTAGACTATCTCAAAGTTGAACCCCATAAGTTTCGAGACAAACTTCTGCTGCTCAGAGATAACAATCCTTTGCTCGAGTAGATGCTTGAGTGGCTGCTGGTCGGTCACAATCTGAAATCGATGCCCTAATAGGTAAGGCCTCCAGCATCTTACAGCCTCGACAACTACTAGGATCTCCTTTACGTACACATATAATCCCAACCGAGTCGTGCCTAGTGCATTGCTGAGATAGGCTAGGGGTCGTCCCTTCTGCACTAGCACAGCTCTAATTCCAATATCACTCGCATCTTTGTGTACCTCGAACAAGACATCAAACCTTGGCATGGCGAGCACCGGCGTCGTAGTCATGGCGCCCTTCAGTTTCTCAAATGCCTCCTCGCTAGCCTTGGCCCATGCGAATCTGCCTTTCTTGGTCATCTCTGTCAGTGGTTTGGCGATTGTCCCATAATCCTTCAAAAACTTCCTATAGTAACCCGTGAGCCCCAGGAATCCTCAGAGCTGCGTGAGACTCGTTGGCTTAGGCCAGTCGACCATAGCCTCTATCTTCTGTGGATCGACCTTCACGCCATCGTAGGATATAAAGTGGCCTAGGTACTCAACCATCTCCTGCCCGAATGAACACTTGGACGGCTTGATGTGGAATGAGTTAGCCTCCAAGACTTCGAGCACCACTCTCAGATGCTCCAGATGTTCAGCCCATGACTTCGAATATACCAAGATATCATCAAAGAATACTAAGACAAACTTACGTAGGTACTCCTTGAAGATGGAATTCATAGCAAATTGGAAAGTTGATGGAGCGTTACACAGCCCGAATGGCATCACTAAATACTCATAATGCCCCTGATGTGTACGAAAAGCTGTCTTCGGAATGTCGGCTTAGTGGAGTCGAATATGATGGTAGCTAGCTCTTAGGTCGAGCTTCGAGAAATAGCATGATCCTGCCAACTCATCGAGCATGTCTTCAACACTAGGAATAGGAAATCGATCCTTGATAGTCGCGACATTCAAAGCCCGATAGTCGGTACAAAACCTCCACGTACCATCCTTCTTCTTAGCTAATAATACTGGTGATGAAAATGGACTCGAGCTATGCTGAATTAAGCCAGACTCTAACATCTCAGCTACTTTCCTTTCGATCTCAGTTTTCTGAAAGTGAGCGTACCTATAAGGGTGAACGTGTACGACATGTTGCTCATTGACTAGTGGTATGCGATGATCGAACCCCCGGTGGGGTGGTAGTCCCTTAGGTTCGCCCAGTACTCCCTCAAACTCCTCGAGAAGCTCCCGCACATCTCTTTGCTGTTGCTGTTCTCGACCATGTGCGCCCCAGTGTTCTCGACGACTACTGCAAAAATTTGGCCGCCACCTCGCCAAACTCTTTCAATACTCTTTAATCCAACTTCCTTAGTAATCTTTTCCTCTCCAGCCTTGAGAGTGACCCGCTTGCCTCCAGATTTAAACTCCATGACTCTGGTGCGGTAGTCTGTGGTCACCCTTCTAAGTCCTTCCAGCCATTGTACTCCTAAAACCACGTCCGGTCCAACCAAGGGTAGGGCATAAGGATCGGCTTCCACAACAACTCCTTGGAACATGATAGGTACCTTACAAAAGGACTCGGTGCATTGAAGCCTCTCACCGTTGGCTACTCGAACTTCAAAGGGCTCAATCCTCGTGGTTGGCAGATTCAGCTTCTGGGACAAGTCGGCATTGATGAAGTTGTGTGATGACCCGTTGTCTACGAGTACGATCACTCGTTGGTCCTTGACCCAAGCTGGTAGCCTCATCGTCCTTGGCCCTCTGATCCCAGCCACTGCGTGCATCGAGATCTCAGCCTCCTCATCAAATGCTTCAATGTCGTCCATTGGTTCCGGCTCTTCCTCGACTTCAGCTTCTTTATTGTCGGAGTTGACGACCTCTATAACAAAAGCTTGCTTGCATCGGTGCCCTGGCATAAATTTTTCCTCGCACCTGAAACAAAGACCTTTCTCGTGTTGGCGTTTGATCTCCTCGGGTGTGAGTTGCTTGACTACTGGCCCCGATGGTCGAGCATTATTGGTCGGTCGTGCGCCTATGGTCGCTTCAGATGGCCCTGTCCAGCGTGTGTCGGTGAAACGAGTGTCCACCCGTCCCCTTCGCGTTGCTGCTAGGTGATCTTCGCGTCATCGGGCAACTTCCATAGCGGCGTGCATGGTCTTTGGTCGTTCCAGACGTACCTCGGCTGCAAGATCATATTTCAGACCGCCTATGAATGCTCCTACTAATGCAGTTTCGGGCCATCCCCGTACTCGACATGCTAAACGCTCAAATTCCTTAAGATAATCACGTAAATTACCTGTTTGCCTTATGCGAGTCAATGCTGTTAGAGGTATGCTGTAAAAGCTGTGTTTTGCAGTTTCTATCAATTCCATTTTGATCTGGCAATCATGTTTCAGTCAAAGTACATATGTTTGCAGTTTATTTATTTA